TGATTTGAGCACAGATGAGAGCAAGGGTCTGAAACCTGTGCTTGGCATTTGTCTGAAAGGAATAATTTTCCAACATTAATGAACAGGTTAAATCTTTAGAGTTCAGAGTGCAGTAGAGTTAAGAGTTTAATTCAATAGGATCCCAGGGCCTATATCTAAATGGACTGATGGGCTAGCAATTCTGGGCATGTGTACAGTATTAGGGTAGCAGGGGTCAGGATTACTGGGATTATTTATCCACACTGCCAAAAGGGTTTATGGCTAATTAATTCCTATGCAAATTATGAAGATTTCCTGTTTGTTTAAGTGTGTTATATGTGGGGAGGTAACAGCTGTGTTTGGGCTAACAGCATTTGACAGACTGGAGTCAGACCTGACTTAAAAGAAGCCACCTGGCTTGGTTTTGTGGTCATACAGGAAATAATTTCCCTCTGCAGAGCTCTTGGCTGAGCTTTTGCACCTCTTCTCTGTTTAATCTGACTCTAACCCTTTTTTCATCCTGTAAAGTGACCCTATTAGGCCCCAATTTAAATAAAATTCTAGGCCAAATTAGTACATTCAGGTTCATAGAATCATAGAATTAACATTAACATTAACATAGAATTAACAGGTTCATAGAATCATGGAGTATTTCCAGGGTTGGAAAGGACCTTAAGATCATCTAGTTCCAATGCCCCTGTCATGGGCAGGGACACCTCACACTAAACCACGTCACCCAAGACTCCATCCAACCTGGCCTTGAACACTGCCAGGGATGGAGCATTCAGTGCCTGACCACCCTCACAGTAAAGAACTTCTTGCTTGTATCTAACCTAAACTACCCCTTGTCCTATTGCTACAGCCGCTAATGAAGAATCCCTCCCCAGAACCCCTGCAGGCCCCCTTCAGATACTGGAAGGCTGCTATGAGGTCTCCACACAGCTTTCCCTTCTCCAGGCTAAACAGCCCCAACTTTCTCAGCCTGTCTTAATATGGCAAGTTAGCAAGCCTCTTCTAATAAACACAGAACACACGTGGTGTAGGAATGCAAGCAGGTAAAGAAAGCTTTTTCAGTTCATTTGCTGGACAATTGTTGAAAGAAACATTTCTTTCACTAGAAAAGGCATAACATTTTCCATGAAATGAAATTAAAATGTTTCTCTGTGATTGAAATTGCTCTTTCAACCGAAAATGAAACTCCTTCTATTAGTTATCCAAAAATATCCACATTCAGTTTAGGTCGAACAATGTTCTTCATTTGATATGAAGCTGGTCAACATAAAGCAATTTCAGAACACTTGTTTTCCTAATTCCGTATTATATTTTTCAATCTTAGGGCCATTTTTAGTTTAAAATACCATTTTTAAATGAGAAGAAAAAGAAGGCGCCTCACTCTGCTTCTAACATCAATTGGCTTATCTTAAGTTTCATAAACATCAAATCTTAAATGGACAAAAGCAACAGGAAACTTGGAATAACTGGTTCCATATCTTGGATCTCTGGCTTTTGTTAAATTTCATAACAGCACTGAAAAATGTTTGTGGTAGGGTGTGGTTTTGGTTTGTTTATTTTTAAAACATATGCTATTGTTGCAACCATTCCTTTAACTATGATCTTGATTTTTAATAGTCATATTTTGGTGCATCAAGACAAGCCATAATGGGATATCCTTAGACTCAGATATATTTAGACCAATATCGAATTATATGCAGCTATCTTGATAAATTCAAGCTCTCACCAGTAATACATGGCAGAAGTGATCCGTCACCTTTGTCAATTTCCGTGCAGCCAGACTGTGGCAAATTTTCAAAAACTGGAAACTTTTTATGAACTATATATTTTAGTTCAATCACAGCCATAGGACATAAAGCAAGAATTTGTTTACATAATTTCTGTAATGCAAAAGGTCACACTATGATGATTGTTAGTCACTTGCAACCTTAATGCCTATGAATTTATGAATCTCTATTTGAAGCCCTTGTGAAAAAGAAGACTAAGATGCGTACTGTCACTTCTACACCGAGTAGTTTCCATTTTCATTCCTGGTTTAAGGCCATCTTCTGGATTATTTCTGCTTCAGCTAGTATAACTAAATCAAATAGATGGCAAAATCTTGTGTTTAAATAAGGGATTCATTTAAGATTTTCAAAACTCTAAGTAGGTAAACAAGAGTTCAGTAAGAGCTAGGGAAGAGCTGTGCTCTTTACTCTGCAAGTGGTGCAGAAAAATGTATTTTGTGCCTGTGTACTGGTGTGTACATACATGTATGCACATTTCACTTCTATGAATGTGAAAAACATTTTGTCTGTATTGAGTAGGCCAAACGCTTGAAGTTGAAAACAACTTATGATTCAGTCGGTGCTACTTTATTGGATACAGCCATTCTATATCACCAAAGATTCCAGAGAGCAGTTTTTTCCTGAGGGATTCAGGGATTGAAGGGGTATGTTTAATCTGGGGCACATTTTCTTTCCATCTATTTCTTACTATACTATCCAGGCAAGAATATTATACCATAATATTTTGCATAATACCTGAACATAGTCCATGTTTTTTTGACACTTAATTAAATTCTAGTCTGATTACTTGTTTGACCCTTATTTTCGTGACAGTAATATCCATATATGTTTAATTTCTTCCTTCATGAGATTTGTTCTAGCTGTACATTCTTCTGGAACTAATCTCATAGTTTTTAATTTAAGCTTGTAAGCCAAGTCATGCTGCCCATGAAGTGGAAATAAATCAAGCAAAAGACTTTTTTTTTTTAAGCCAGATTCCAGCATTAGATCTAGCAATATTTTGTCCAGCAAATGTATGAACAGTGAACTAAAATGGAGAAAGAATTGCTCAATGCATTATTCAGATTAACTATTTCGGTGCAAAGGGATGATGATTTTACATAAGAACAACTCTGTGCTAAGAACAGCTCAGCTAAATTCCAACATTTTCATGATCACTAGGTTTGGTGGGAAAGGGAAGAAATGTCAAATGCTCAAACAGTTCACCTGAGAAAGGAACGTGACCTACTGCCCCTGACTGAGAACACACTTCGTTTCCCCTAAACACAAACTCACCAGCAAGAAACAATAATACTTTCAAAAAATGCAACAACTCTCTTTCACTCATTGTTAAGACAGAAATTTCTTTCCAGACTTTGGCCATTTTCAGAGACAGTTCAATTGAGATTAAGGTATCTTTTCCAATATACTGTTGACACATTTCTTTGAACTTGACTTACTGAAGCATGAAAATGTACATGGAATGTCAGTGTTCAATATCACTTATTCCCAATTCTCTAACTCAGAAATCACTGTTTAATCAATCCAAAGCAGAGAGAAAATCCATTAGGCTTACAATCAATGGCTGTATATCATCTTCAAATAAAGCCTTCATTTAAGACCTCATTTCAAACTGAACAAACATTAAGTCCTAAAATGATATAATCAGCAAATATCTATTCACCAGAAGTGTATCAAAGCCAGAATTTGTCATAACCCAATACATTTTCTATTTACAAGATGATGTATATACATTGGGAATATTCACCTTGGCAGACAAATGAGAAGGTGAAATTGAGCACTTTAATACTTCTTTTCATATGCTTGTTGCAATAAAGATCAGATTTTGAAAATATCTTCTAGAGTTGCCACAATATTTCATTTATGCAGGTACAGTGAGAGTCTGTTGCACACCTGTACAGAGCAAAGTTCTGGCATTGTATTTGTTATATTTCCACTGCTGACAAATAGGGGAAACTTACAAATTCTGCCTAACTTTGGTAATTATGACTTGCTTAAATTATATGAATAGCACTTGAGAAGAATACAAAAATTCCCAAATAAAAGGCAAATTGGAACAGGTTTCCCAGAGAAGTTGTGAATGCCTCATCCCTGGAAATGTTCAAGGCCAGGTTGGATGGCACTTTGAGCAACTTGGTCTAGTGGAAGGTGACTCTGCCTGTGGCAGGGAGTTTGAGAGTTTGGAACCGGATGTTCTTTAACGTCTCTTCCAACCCAAACCATTCCACATTATGATTCTATGATATTTTCCTTCGAAAGTGTGGCATTATTCTACTGTTGTATTCCACATAGAATTTGCTAGGATAAACTAACAGTCAGCTATCAAGTTAAGCCCCCTTGATGCTAAGTGTCAGTTAGCAAAAACAATACAATCCTATATCTTGACATTAATCTGCACCGGTTTTTATCCTCAGATCTCAAAACAAACCAATGAGCTGCCAACTATCTGACAGCTGCAAGTGTCTCCTGTATGAATGTGTACTATGGGCTAGATTCCTATCTCTGTAACAATAAAAGGTCTCTTAGTAAACAACATCAACATACAAGAAGTGCACCAACTCTCTATGGAAAAATTACAAATAGAACCTATGTTTACTGCATAAATATAGGGGGAAAATGAAAGGGTAATTTTGTATGTGTAAATATTCAAAATTTTACACTTAATAAATTGACCATCCAATTAAATATATGAAGAAACTACTCCTTTCCAAGTGACCAAAAAACACCGCTCCATTTTTTAAAAATAATTATACTGGTTCTGGTTCAGTAAAGCATTTGATTTTACATACACATGGTGTGACTTGATTATTTTGAGTCTAAAGATCTGACAAAGTCATCTTTTACAAAATTGATTTTCATTGTCAACAAGAGTTGATTACCTAGATTCAGCAACCGCCTTGCATGAAAACTGCTTTCAGACTCTATGCAGGAGCTCTAACAATTCAATGTATTTAAGTACGCCCCCTTATGGTCTTTTACAACATGGCATTGTAATCTTTGCATGCCTCTTGATTAAGGGTTACAATCTCATGCACACTGTATATATATCATTAGAGTTAAGCTAAGCCTATAGCATTGCAACTCATCTTAGAAACTGCTTTGTTCAATTATTCTGTGATAACAGATGTCTGTAACTGCAGAAAGTATGCTGATATCTGAAAAGTTATTCAACCAGTGAAATGCAGTTACCAATCCCTTCATTTCTTTTTACTTCCAACTCACCTTCGCAAAACTCTTTGAAAAACATTCATTAACAGCAATGCGATTTCACCACCTTTGTGCTGTGTCAGTCCAGCAAAGTGCTCTTCTCTCTTGCAGTCTTCAGAATTCAGTTGGTAACTTCAAATAAAGGCAAGTTCTAACTTCTTACAGAAGATCCTGTAAGGTTAAGCAAAGTACATGAAGGATTAAGACCCTCTCTGAAAATAAACAACACTTTCTATGATTCAAGTTCTTTTCCCTGAACTTTAACTGAATAGTTCTAGGGTCATTTTGATAAAAATTTGCTGAAAGGCATCCTTTCTGATAGTGCTTTTATCTTTGCTTACTCAGTTTAGAAAAATGAGGGGGTTTATCTGTGATGGATTTGCAATTTAAATCTCTAAACAAAATAATCAGATTAACAATTTTCTGCAGTATATTTTGTGAGAGTGAATGATAAAAGAAAATATGTATTTAGAAGATTTATTAGAACACTCCAAGTGTGTGAACAGCCCAACAGATGCAGTCCACCGAAGAATTAGACAAAAACCTACTAATATCCCCCCACCAAAAAATAAGCCTCAATACTGACATTCCCTCATAACATTCAATAAATAGTTCCCAGTACTATTTTAATCTCCTCTGGGAGCAAAGAGAGAATCTAAAGATCCATTGTCTACAAGCACATTAAAGGATGCACAAGAATCAAACAGTGGGGGGTCACCTCTATTCAAGAAGCTCACTTGGTTTTGCTTTCCAAGTTTCCAAATTCATACCCACAAAATAAATTCTCCTGTTATGTAAAAATTTTACAAGTAGGTCTTAAAGAAAGTGGCTACCCTCTGAAGCAGGGAGGGTTATTCCTGTCAACTTTTCTCCTAAACTCTTCTATTGTTAGGAAGATATCAAATATCACTGAAAGTTTATATTAAATGCTACATTTCAACTTTTCTCTGAGATGGATTGTGTTCGGACAGAGTCTACTTTTGTAGGATGGATGCTCTAGAATTCTCCTATATGAGGTTGCACAGAAATACATGTAAGAGTTTCTAAAACTGAAGTTAATAGCCAAAACTAATTGTATTTTCTTACCAGTTCTAGGTAGTACAGGCAAGGATGCTTGTGTTAGAGTATTAAATGCCATAAATACAAAGGCTGTGCCTTTCAGACACGGTGAACAAAGAAAGAAAGCCGCTTTTCCACAATAAAACCACCTTATTGTTGAGATGTTTCTAATCTTTCAAAAGAGGGAAAAACCCCAACTCCCACAGACAGTTTGCAATCTCAAAGCAGACAAAATGAGAGAAATTCAGAGAAAAAAAGGGAAGCAGAAAGATAATCCTTATTAACATATTGCTTTACATCAAAATGAGGGGTCTTTTTCTTCAGACAGCTTTCTGTCACTAGCAGGGTGGAAGTCAGTCTTTCAGAGAGCCAGCCAAAGCTGGCCACCACATGCCTCCTAGGATATACCTTCCCCTCTCAGAAATCCATAACCAGAGTTGTGTAGGAGTGATGCGTTTCAACCTACTTTTGTTTCTTGACACCTGATACTTGAGAAGCAAGTATGTTTGCTCTCAAGTTTCCTCAGATACAGATATGAAATATAAAGAAGACTACCCTAAGACTAACCTAAGAAAACCAGGGATATCTCACCCTAAACCATGTCACCCAAGGCTTTGTCCAGCCTGGCCTTGAACACCGCCAAGGATGGAGCATTCATAACTTCCTTGGGCAACCCATTCAGTGCCTCACCACCCTGACAGTAAAGAACTTCCTCCTTATATCCAATCTAAACTTCCCCTGTTTAAGTTTTAACCCATTACCCCTTGTCCTGTCACTACAGTCCCTAATGAAGAGTTCCTCCCCAACATCCCTATAGGCCCCCTTCAGATACTGGAAGGCTGCTATGAGGTCTCCACACAGCCTTCTCTTCTCCAGGCTGAACAGCCACAGCCTTCTCAGCTTCTCTTCATACAGGAGGTGCTCCAGCTCCCTGATCATCCTTGTGATCCTCCTCTGGACTTGCTCGAACACCACCATTCACCACTGATGGAAAACAGGAGGCTCCTATTTCCACTGCTGTTCAGTTTACTGTCTTGCAAGCCCAGTAATGGAGCATATGGGAAATCAAAAGCAGGGGAGGATCTGAATAAAACTGTAATTGAGATAGTCTCCACCTGAGTAGTAGCTCATCCTCCATCTTATCTGATAAAACAGCAGTGTTCTTAAATACATCAACATTACATAAATCAATTATACTGGAAACTGAAGAAGGCATTTTGCACCAGAAAGTCTTGCTGTAAATAAAGCTTAGCCAGTGCATTTATTTCCTACATTGCTTCAAAGTACATTCGTCATTTGAGATATATCATTCCCACGACAATGGGATCACAAGGAATCATGGTATCACAATGTTAAACCAAGCAGACAGAATGTCAGCTGTGCAAACTGGCAAGTGTATCATTTAACCAGAGATCAAGAGGGAAAATCTGAAGGTCAGAAATATAATATTTATAACAACGTCAGTAGATAGATGCATGCTGAATACCTCATATCTACATCCTTAAAAAGCTTGTAAGAGGAATGTTTACGACACATGAGAGCAGCTGTTACTGGAGTTTTCTCCATTTGGTTGCAACATGCATGGATATTGAGCCCAGCATTCCCTAGCATATTCCCTAGAAATAGCAAAAATTTTGAGATATATTTTAATGTCACTTTTTGTCATGCAAAACATACACAAGTAGCAGTTAGCTACTACTGTCATTCTCACTAATTCCAACTCGTACCACAAAACTGCCCTTTGGTACATCCCACCTAATTGTATTTAGAAGACCCAGCATTTTTTAAATAGGCAATATATATTTCTTCGGAAATAAACATAATTAGCATGGCTTCTGCCTTTGGAAGAGAGAAGAATAACAACTGAAATAACTCTGTACTGTCACCAATTCCTACTGCAACAGCCAACTTTGGCACTGCGCAAAGAATATACGTGTGAGAATAATTGCAGCTTTTCTTCAGTGTCTCTATGACAAATGAACTGGAGATGCTAAAGCTATAGAAGAAAGGCTGACAAAAGCAAAAGCTAGTTAACAGGAAAAATGGAAAACGCATTAACATAACCATAATAAATTCTGCATGTATGCAGCATACAACCATAGAAGAATCCTCCAGATTTGGTGTGTGAAGAATTTGACACTGAATCCTTGTTCCTTCCATATCTTTCTTGTTATTATAAGATCGCTCTACCTAGAACTAATTCACATAGTATCATGCTGATAGAGAGGTTTGATGACATTACCATTACCTAATGATAAACAAAGGAGCTAGAATAAAAGGTTATGAAATTATTGAGTTTCAGTTTTGTGACTCAAATGAGAAAATTTAAAAGTACCTTGTCTTTTCTTCTTGATAGCTCTTCCATTTAAAATTTATTATCATAAAGACAGTATTCCTTGAAATATACTTTTGAGTTCTCCACAAATACTGCAGTCAGAATAAAAAAATAAAAAAAAAAAACTATAGATATCTTAACTCTTAAGGTCTTTCTTATTTATTGAGATTTTATCATATGCGCTCTCTGTTGACTGTCAAATAAACTCTGCTCATAAAATGTTATCTATGACAGCGGGCTAAGGACACAAGACATGTGAAAGCTCTATTTAGGAGTCTAAAAACCTTGAGAAATAATCTCTAATTATACAGCTCGTCTTCCTCCTATTACCTTCTTTCTCATTTTATTTTTTGTACCCTTCTACACCCCATCCCCCTTTATCAACGTCTTCAATTTCTCTATCCATCTTCTAAGCCCCCTTCCCCTTTTTAATTCCTGCTTTCTCCTGTCTTTATCTAAACAAACTCAGAAGTTCCTTTTTCTAACTTCATCTTCAGGGCCCTGTTGACTGAAGTCAGGAGGTCTGCTTGGTTTTGGCTGAAACAACATCTGGATATCGGCCAGCTGACACACATGATCCACCCAATTCCTCTTGAATAGTGAATAAAAGGTTCCCCTCAACTATTTGGGCTCCCCCACACCATCAATTTTTGCTTCCTTCCACGTGCTCTCTTTATGACAAAAAAAAAAAAAACACATTCTCCAAACAACTGCATCTCAGATTCTGTTCCCAGATCTTCCCTCCTTCATATGACAATTGACCACAGTTTCCCTCAGACCTTCTGCTGTACTACAGAAAAATCATAGATTTTGCAGTGTCCTGTTTCCCCATCCAGTTGTTTTCCCCATCCAGTTTTACCTCGTTTTAAGTAAATAAAAGAACTCAGGCTATGACCTTTGTCAATTCACCTGATACATTTTTCTGAATGAAATGTGTGTGTCTGTAGCACGGAAACACAATATCATATTATACTACAGTGCTATAATGCTATGTTATAGTACTATAATATATAGTATATATGCACTGTACACACTATAGACTATGCAAACACTCTAATACTGATGATACTACAATAAGGGTACACTAGTGCTTCACTATTGTTTTGATATTTTAAGTTCCCCAGCTCAGGAAGAACATGGAAGAAATAGCTATCCTTCTCCAAACCTGTATGTTAAGTAGGAAGAAATACCTCTTAAAATCAGATGCAACTGTTTCTCATTATATATTTTACATATCCTGTTAACAATGCATCCTAACAACAAATACGTCAATTATGACTCTGAAGTCTGTTGTGACTGAAGTTTTCTGGTTCAACGCACTATCTCAGTGAATTGAGTAGTAATAATTCATTGTGGAAATTAGCATAAGCGCTTCTTGGTACCTGGTTGTACTGTAATATCAAAGGCTGTTCCAAAGGTTATGAGGGCTGTACAGAGCACAGTGGAAGTATGGGGCAAGTGGGAAATGGAGACATACCTCTGTGCCTATACTTCAAAGAAACATGCCACATATACATGACACTTGAAATAAAGGCACATCTTTGTGCATTTTTATTTAATTCTAGCTTTCTTTTGGAAGTCATACTAAAGCAGATTTCTTAGAAACATCATTTGGAATTTTCTCTAACTACATTTAGCTGGAGTTGGCCAAACTCATTGCAATGATGGAGAACTCTGGACTGGGAATCAGATGCAGCCAAAAAAACAAAACCACCACTCTGGTTCTTAGGATAACTTCATGGCAGAGTCCAACACCTACAGGGGCAGCTTTTGTTGATGCGATGATGCATTAGTATGCCCACTGGGAGTTGAAGTATCAATTTGACATTTTTCCATTTATCTCATATCAAGAGTTATGTGCATGGT